CTTGTGTTGTCCCCGTAGATTCACCCGTTCTGGACATTTTGTATGAGTAGAATCCTACAATAAGGTGACCTTTTGTGTCTGGACTCTTGTCACTTAGCGTAACGTCCGCAAGTTTCAACCATGTTGCGGCATGGGTCGATACTACACTCCTTTTTATTGGCAAATAATACTCCACTGCATGGGTGAATCACGTGTTGTGGGACATTGGGGTCCTCTCCACGAGACACATTTAAAACTGTTCTACAGAGCGTTATTTTTACCAAGCGCCAGTGACCCGGTAAACATGAGACTGAAACTCAACCGCCTTTTATTTACCGTTAGTAGAGCAGCAGCATTAATTGCCCAGTGAACTAGCCGAGGTTGGGATGTTCCCTGGAAGGCGAGGCTTTCTTCCAGATGGAGTGAGGCGCGAAGAAGCAAGAGACGATACGGAGAGAGTAGGCACGTGTGCGTGGAGTCAGGAGACGCGGGTCCAGGCCGGCTGGGCCCCTGCTCTGACGTTCCTTCGGCCTCAGCTCCTGCAAAAGGGCTGGCTTCCCTCTTAACGTGTGTTCTGGGCACATCCTACAGCTTTCTTCTCTGGAATAACTGACCTTACCTCGCCTTCATTTCACTCCTGGGAATCCCAGAGAACGACCAAGAATGAAGTGGCTTTGAGGTCTGTACCCCTAAATCACTTCCTTACTGCTCAAAATGCAACTCCTCCTCTGAGTCAGAGACTCCCTGAGCGGCCGTTTCCTGACTCAGCCCATTCGGCGTGGGAACGGGGAACTCAGCCTGACCGGCAAAGCAGTTCTCCTCTCTTAATTCCCCCCCCATCTTCAGTTATCTCATTTATGTCATTTTTACTGTCAGTCTTATCTCGTTCCTCTGTGAGAACAAGCAAAAGCACAACAGCGGATAAATCAATAACTTTCAAGAATGGGTTGTAACATTGTTATTTTTGACAAGCGTTCAAGGTGACTAATATTTATGGGCAGATCTCCAGTCTCTTTTTCTTTGGGGGGGGGTGGGGACGTCAGATCAGGGTTTCTCAACCTTGGCATTGCTGACGTTGGGGCCAGAAAATTCGATGTCTTGTGCATCGTGGCACGTTTCGCGTCACCCGGTCCTCCGCCCACTAGATGCCAGCAGCGTCCTGTCAAAAAAGGCTCCAGATATTGCCCAGTGTCCCCTACTGAGAAAAATTTGTCCCCGGTTGAGGACCACCGGGTTAGACCCAACATCCTCTTCGAAGTTTGTGGTGGTGGCGTGTGAGTTGTTTACGCTTGGCTCTGGGGCGGAAGCTCCTGGCCCTGTGGTCAGTGAAGGCTTGCCTGAGTTTTCCACTTCTCTGTGGCGTAGGGAGCGTGAGAACTGGCCACGGGTGTCCGCTTCGGACATACAGGATCTTAATACAGTTTAGGGACTCCGGGACTCTCTGGTGTATTTCTCCTCCTTTGTTGGAACCACCACCTCTGCTCTGTGTCCCTTGCCACTCAGGCCCCCTTCCTCTCGTGAGCTCCGTACTCTTTTCCCATCACTGCTGTCTTCTGCCTGGTCTCTGTCCTCGTTCAGCCTTGCATCTCTCCCGGGGCATCACTGCTTGCCAGGTTTCTCGTTCCTAGTCAGCGGGTCCCCGGGGGTGCAGAGTTGTTGGAGGGTGGGGCGGGGGCGGTCGTTTTCTTATTTCACTTTTCTCCTTGAAGGCAAGAAGGGGGAAAATGTCAATCGGGGCATAAGTCCTAATTGCTTTCAGATTCTAACCCCCCTGGCCTTTAAACTTTTAGGAAATATCAAATGTCCATTTCTCTTGTTTATATAAATAAACCGATAGCCTAGAAAGTTTTATATTCAACATTGAAGCCTTTTTGAGAACCACCAAGAGCTTTTGAGACCCACAGACAGACAGGCTGCTCCTGGCCACCTTCCGTCATGAAAGACTTGCCTGGAATGGTTTTTCCTTTTTTTTTTTTTTTTTAACCCATGTGTTGGGGCTTAAAATGGTGTTGATCACTCAGCTATGGCCTGGGTTGAAGGAGGAAATAGATGCTCCTAAAACATAGCCCCCCCTCCCCTCAAAAAACAGGGTGAGATCCAAAACAAGCTTGGAAAGTTGAGAAGAGTGTGTTGAACGACGCCAGGTAGGAATAGTCCAATCAACAGGAATCAATGCACGACGGGTGTTAGGAATGTGGGTAACCATTGGGAAGCCTGAAGATACCTCCATGGAAGTTACTCAGAGGGACAGCGGAGCAGGGTTGCCAAGGAAAGGGTGCGACCGTGTAGAAAGAGCCAGGTGTCCTGGACACCTGTATCTTTTTCAGACATCAGAGCAGAAAATGTGAGACTCGTGTCCGCGGCTCATTGCCCAGTGGTGTCTGTGATGTGACGTTCTCTTTCTTTCTCTGTAGCTGGAGGCTGGCAGCGATGAAGATCGAAAGGTAAACCTCAGGTAAGCGGACTTAATTTTCATTCCTAAGTCTTTCTTCCAAGCAGGCTGAATACTCTCGTCCCTTGCCAAAAGAGAGAACCCTTGAAATAGAACACACCAGCTTTTTTCAGTAGAGCTTTAAAAATGATGCCCAAAGCACATTGCAAAGGTAGTGCTTGAACTTTTGTATAGATGTTTAACTCTAAACAGCTTTAATAACGTCGTCGTTTAGAAAAGAAGGAAAATCGTGGCCAGAATCCCACTACCCCTCCTGCTTTACCGTTATGCACGTCTCTAGATAACTTCCTTCTAGATTTTACCTCTGCCTTTGAAAAAACTAGTCATGGTAATGTTCTCACTTTTCCATCCTGCTTTTGATAAGGTGTTCTTCTGGGGTAAGCACATTGCTGATTTGAAACGGGCATCCTACCCCCTGAGTTTAATTCAAGGTGGGTTTTTTTGTGCTTGTGAGAAATCTTTCAGTACACTCTTTTTAAAGACTTCCTCTAGCTGTGGTCCCCAGCTGCTGTATCCCCTGGTAGACCCCAAAAGCATTTTTATTTTTCTTTGCCAAAAAGCAAGGCCGCCTTTTGGGTGTTTTGTTTACGGAAGATGTAGCACTCCCTTCTGTAATGTGTTCTTATCATATCATGCATTCTAGGCTAAGGTGCCAGTCTTAAACTCTGACTCTCAGAGTCTAAAAAAGTAAATAGAGTTCCAAGGATATTAGTCTTAAAAAAAAAAAATGTCTGTTTCATCTTAGGAGGAGGAAAACTAATTGGAAAAGGGAATGTGTGTTCAGAAACTGGGGTCCACCATTCATTACGGAGAGCAGGATATTCTGGTTAAGCTCACATACAGAAGTGGTAAAAACATGCTTTTAACCTGTCTCTGAAGGTTTTGTGTCTTTGAGCGAAAGGCAAGAAGACACTTTTATTGTGGCGTGCGTTATTTCCAAAGATTGTACGTGGAGGGAAGCAATAGCCTACAAAACCCAGAGATGTCTTATTTCAGTGGCTGGGCCCTCACTTTAACGTTCCCCTGGGGGACGATGACAGATTTACTCTGTCACTTGGGGCATTCGGTTGCTCAGGGTCGAAGTCAGGGCTCCAAGGCTGGAATCAGCCAGACTCCCAACTGGGGGCAGTAACGGGCCGTGTTGTGGATCAGACTCGTGCTCGGCTCTCTTCGGGAGGCGAAGAGGGGAAGAAGTGCAAGTGGCTCTTGGGAGGCTGTCTGGGGGAGGAAGTGCCGGCCGAGGGGCCAGACCGGCAGCCCGGAAGCCTGTGCCGGCACCTCTCCTGCCCCAGCCTCCCTGCAGTGCTTACCTGGAGCCGGAACGTCTTCCACCCCTGAGCCCTCCCGTTTCTTTCGGGGCTCTTGCCCTGGACAAAGTAAGTATTTAGCTCTCTCACTTAGATTGTCTTTGGGGACGAAGAACTACTGTTTCGTTTTGGGTTTTTTTCCAAATCGCCGTTAATTAGCGGACGGCATAGTGTCGTGAATTCTTTCACTTCATAAGAACTCACAAATAGCGGTGATCTGAAGATGCGTGCGCCCTGGGGGCCAGTAGAAGGCCCCTTTCTGTGCACGGTTTGGAGCCGGAGCGGACCTGGAGAAGGGAAGGGAAGTCCGCTCTGCACATTGCCATGCTTAATCCTCTCACCGGCCCTGGGAGGGTTTTCCCAGTTTACAGGGGAGGAGCCTGAGGCCCAGGGTTGCACGAGGCAGGTACTGTATTTGAAGCGAGGCCTCTGTGGCCTCCACCACCTGGGTTGACCATAGGACGCCGCCTTTCCGGAGACCGGTGTCGTGGTTTGCTGGAGTCAGCTGTCCAGGAGTCAGATGTCCAGGTGAGGGAGGCTGCCTGCCACCAGCTGGTTGGAGGCATTGCCAGGGCCGGGACCGGGGAGCCCTGCTAACTTGGGGCGGTGCCTCCTGGATGTCTGCTGCCCGCGGGAATCCCTCACTGCTGTTACCAGCCGGCCCCGCCACCCACCCTTGTGAGCCCTGGGGGACCCTCGCCTGGAGCCGGGGACCTGGGCTCTGAGCTTGTCCTCCCGGTTCCCTTCTCAGTCGCTCTTCCCCCACCTTGGCCTCACTCCCCATTTTCAGGCCGGCGACTCCATCCTGTTGGCTTTTTTTTTTTTCACTGTTTATT